TCTGTGTGTGTGTGTGTGTGTGTGTGTGTGTGTGTGTATGTGTGTGTGTGTGTGTGTGTGTACACGTGTGTGCATATATATTTGCTTATATACAAGTATGCATAATTCATACATAGTATATATAAATATATATGAACATTTTTTTACACCCTCCAATAAACACTGTTCGTAACTTTGTATCGCTGGTCTCGATTATGCTGCATGCTTCGTGCAAATCCTATCCGAGTACGACGACGACGTTTTTTTGTTCTTTGATTATTTAAATTCTGTTAGTAATTTATTTACACCAGGAGAAAATTCATGTATGAACGGGGATAGTCAGTTCGGTCAATGCGGTCGATCAATCTCGACGTTAACTAACTCAGCCCGAGACTCTATACTCCTTTAGATGTAGCTGTTGTAGAAAAAAAGGGGAAGTTAGTTAACCGCGATTAATGATATTACGATTAATGATGAAATTGAAACATTTGCTAATAAATTTCTGAATTTGAGCTTAAAATTCAGAGGATCGAACAATTCTTAAATTTAGATTCGACCGAAACTGGCTCGCACACGTATAGCTTTTTGTTTGACTTTGTAATTAGGTCATGATCGTAATAGCTCGAATGTCAGCTTCCTTCATTAATCCGCCCAGGAATCAAGAAAGATACATAAATGAACTAAAAATAACGGTGGAAGCAGGTCGGAGCAGGACGACAATGCGATTTGATTTTTAATCCTCGACGCGGAGACCTTTTACTTGGTCGAGCCACTCGCGCCACGTCGATGTAATTTTAATTAAAGTAATCTCGATCTTTCTCAAGAGCGACTTGTGTCAAAGTCCAACGGCAATTAAGTAACTCTGTAGTTATATCTCGCAAGGCTGGAAAGCCTGGAAAGCAATTTCGCGCACAATTTGGATCAGGAATAATTTAAGATATGCGCCACGATGCAGGCGAAAAGTGTACTATGTAAGAGCGTAAAAAAGCAATTTTCTTTGTAACTATCATAGTTATATTATTTCAACTATCGAGAATTATCATTAAATTTATCAATTTAGATCAAGATCTGTCAATCAAGATTTATAACTTTTGTAATTAATCTTTAGAGTCAAAGAAATTAAGAGATTGGAAATATTTAATTTCTGTTACGAAACTACTTTGAAACTACTTTGACATTTTTTTATATTTTCGTCTTTAAAGTTGTCATTTTCGCTGTCGTCTATCGCAAATTTAAAATCCAAACGTGTCCACCGCCGGTTTTGCATAAAAAAAATATTAAAAGGTACTTTTAATATCTCTTGGCTGGGTCTTCATCGGACCATTATCGTCGTCGTTGTACTCGATTATGGCGAAGAGCTGACAGGCGGTTCAATGCCTCCGTCGCTCGTCGCCATCGTCGTTACGTCGTCTGTTGTTGTCGTCGTCGTCGTCGCCGAGATGGACGGAGCACAGGGACTGATCCTCGCCTGGACGACGAATCTTTTCGCAGCTGGACGAGCTCCGGACGGAGGTACAACGACGGGACCAGGAGCTACTGGCGATGTCAGCAAAGATGAAAACGCTCGAGGAGCAACATCAAGATTACCAGAGGCACATTGCCGTGCTCAAAGAATCCCTCTGCGCCAAAGAGGAACATTATAATATGCTGCAAGCCGATGTAAGTGTAACTTTGGTCTTCTCTACATTTTATTTAAAAAGCGGCGTCACATTATTTTGCATATTTTGTAATTTATTCGAAGTTGGTATTCCAAAATTTTTTCCAATATTTAAAAAATTTTTTAATATCTAAAAAATGATGATTACATTATTAAAACTTTTAAAATAAAAATTTTAGCAATAGGAATGTTAAAATAACATTCCTTTAGACTACAGGGTATTGTTTTGTTTAATTATGTCATAATTATTACAATTTGATTGAGATTTTTTGCTTTAATGTTTGAAAGATATTGTCTCATTAATCTCTGCTTTTAAAAGCAGAGAAATGAGACAATGAGACAATATCTCAATACTCTGGAAGTTGTGAAATGTATAAGAATTTACAAGAACGGAAATTTGTCAAGTATGTTTTCGGTAAACAAGTTTACCACCGATTTCGTTGTTTTCTATCACATCGATTCGAAACTAGAATACAACCGAATCCTGAAATCGATACCAAATTTCTGACCGCATCTCCCAAATTCGGATGTTTGCTCGAAATACCTGTTTCAGCATGTGGTCTCAACAAAATTCCGTGACTATCCTGATACCGTGACTCAAAAACTCGTATGAAGAACCATTATCTTAAATAAAAGAAGTCGTTGATTTAGTTTTATCAACTTTTACATGGACTTTTAGCACTTTTAAAAGTTCATAAAAGCACAGAGACCTGAAGAATTTCCACGAAAGACTAATGTCGAACAAAACTGGGACAAAGCTATGAAATCGAATTTGAACGAGGTGAAATGTTGACCCAACTCACGCAAACCCCCATGAATTTTAGAACGATCATTGACGTGAGAAAAATCCTCGATGCAAACTTTGCTCGAATTCAAACTTATCTTTATTTTCAATTCGCAAAAGAATTCTTGAGATTTTAGATTTTTGGTATCTTACAAGATGTAATCTTTTGGTTGTGAGATGCTTAAAAGTATAAAAATAAAATCTTTATAAAAATCTTGAATGTTTAAATGAATGATATTAAAGATTATTTAATTCATAAAAATTAAAAGATTATCTAATAACGGAAAAATTTATTTCTTCGTTTAACATTTTTTTTTTATATTAATCGTCATACCGTATCAAAAATTTTGAAGAAACATCTTTAAATTAATTTCACAACGTAAACTTTGAAAAGGGGGAAGGTAAATTCGTAAGCCTCTGAAAGAGTTCTTCGGGAAGGGATTTCCGAATGGGTTAAGTAATCGGCGATGCGTGACTACGATCACAGTCGCTTGACAAATCGGCACGACGAAGTCGGGAGTCAAGTTAAAGCTACGGCAATTCGCATGTCTCCGGAAGAGGCCACCGACAAAGAGAGGAAGGCCAAGCCGTCGCGGAAAACTAGGTCGACCTTCTTCTCTCTTCTCGCCTCTCCTCTCCTCTCCTCTCCTATTTTCTCCTTCCTTCCTCGCTGACGGTGTCGCATCGTATCGCGTTCCGTGTCGCGTGTACGTACGTCGTCCGTATTGCGCGCTAGATATTCGCGGATTTGGACTCGTCTGGAGGCTTCTCTTCTCGGCCGATCTTTCGGCGACATCTCCTGCTTATCCGTACCTTGAAAATGTACAGGTCGAGGAGATGCGGCAGCGGCTCGAGGAGAAAAATCGGATGATCGAGAAGAAAACGCAGGCGGCGATGCAGGCGCAACAGGAGCGCAATCGTATGAACACCGAGCTGACCGAGCTTAAGGATCACATGGACATCAAGGATCGCAAGATCAATGTTCTGCAACGCAAAGTGAGTTCTCTCTCTCTCTCTCTCTCTCTCTCTCTCTCTCTTTTATTTATTCAGCTTTTTCTAACTGAGCGAGGCGCGAAGTCCTCGCAAAGGGTCTCGTTCACTTTTCTCCTATTATCATCTATTTCCAACCACTTTCGTTCGCTCTCGTCACGCTTTAGCCACTCTGTCGTGTGGACTCGTTCCTGTAACGTTTGCGTTCGTTGAGATTCCCGCCTCGCGCGAGAAAATCATCTCATTGCGATTCATAACTCGGGCGAGCATTATGCGAGAAGATTGCCGGTGCGAAGCAGACAACTTCCGCGAAATGAATTTCCTTATCGTGCGCACCGCGTCGTTTAGTCCTCCGTCTGAGGAGAAACGGAAAGGCGGATGAGTCCGGCAAAATGCATTCTCTTATCGCGCAAAGTCAGTTAGTGCCTGGAAAAATATTTAGCTATAGCACGGACACAAATTATCCCGATAAAATTAATCGTTTGTCATTCTAAAGAAAAGTGTTGCAGGACGAGCTTTGAAGAGAAGTTTTCTATTGTCGTATATCTTTCTTCTTATTAATCCTTTTTCGGAATCTTATTATGCTTGCAACGTGCTCTCGCATAATAATATCGCTATCATTACTGCTTGATTCCCGCATATCCCGAATTGAACTTGGCGCTAAAAATGACATGTAGATGACATGTAAAATAATGAAGTGGCTCAAAACGTTGCTTTGAAAATTATTTATTCTCTAAGAGCAATTATAAAATAAAGAATTCCCAAGTGATACATAAATGTATGATAATTAATCGTGCATCATAATTAGTTAATGAATCCTTGGTCTATAATGTATTAGAATAAAAGGATTAAAATAATAGATAGTTAGACGGATAATATGAACATAGCAATAATTAATAAATTGGATTGACAGAACGATATCTGTGTTAATGTATGATAATGTATGATAAAAGGGCGAAAGAGTTGAATCAGTGGTAGGGTTGTATAATACACCCCCGCATCCTACAGGATCTCCCACACAGTGGAAGAGTTGGAACGCGCATGAGTACGAGTACGAATTCAATCAATCGCCTCGTGAATTGCGATCGGCTCTTTAAGAAAATTCCGGGAGCTGATCCCGCGAGAGATGACGTATCGGTATCGATTGCACACGTGTGACGACCGTAGTCCTAAAGCGAGAATTACGATTGTCCCGTTACGGGACAATAAGTTATTTACATCGCCCTTAACAATGCAGAAGTGCAAACTTGGGGGAGATATATTTGCAAATTGCATTTGGAAAAAATTTGCGCGAATGTAACATAAAGTGGAAAGGAAATTGCGCGCGAGAAAGGGGAAATAGAAATGGGGATGTAACGGAGTCATATCTAATTTTGCAATTATCTCGGACTGTCCTCGAGGAGCCTGTAAGTTTCGTGATTCTCTTAGAAAAGCAACCGCGATAGAGAACGCCGTGATAAAAATGCGCTACGGTAAAAATCTCTCGGCTCTTTGCCCGTGAACGGTGATTTTGAGCGTGCTTTGACGGTGTCTTCGCCTTTGATTGACCGCTTCATCAGCTTCGTGACACGACAAAGGTTCTTCCCTCTCCTCCTCGCGTTCGACGGGACAGACCCGGCCGAGATCCTCTAGGATTAGGGGCGCGCATCGTGTACTCACGCAAAGTACCGAGCACTAATTGTCGTAGCGACTGAAAAAAAGCGAGGCGTACCCTATCATGCGTGTCGGTGCATCCCCCGGTGATATCGCAACGCGAGAAAGAGAGAATGCGCATGAGTGTCGGTGGTTCAGCCGTCGATTAAAATCGTGTACGGTGTATGTATGTATATATATATACATAC